AAATGCAACACCAAAAAGATTACGCATATCAACGTTGGGAATGCCAAACAACCAGCGCAGAGGAGTTACATCTTCAATCTCCGAGGGACACATGTAAGTGTCAGACGGTCTACGTTTATATAGTAGCAAACAACAAAAGAACACCATAAATACTAAAAACTCAATGCAAGCAGCAGATATGAACTGATGCATGTTTTAAAACATTAAAGAGTAGTTGCTTCAACGCAATAGCTTTTCAATGTATGAAGCATAAAGTACCAATGATCTCAACTGTCAAACTCATTGAACATAGATTTTCACTTTAATATAGGGGTCAACATTTCCTGCATAAAATGACTGGCCCTGGGGCCCGTATAAAACGTTCTTTTTAAGACCCCTAAAGTGACGATGAGGCCATCATTTCATAGTAAAAAACAAAAATGACGATGTAGCCCTCATTTTGTAGTGATTTCGTACTGGTGGTTAAATGCATGGACTGCAATTTTGTACAGAAGCATCTTCTGATTTTGCACTCTCAAAGACCAGCCAGCCAACCAATTTGTAGAGAAGGATCGGCGGGTCGACGGGGTGGTGAGGAATTCAAGATAGAATTTGTATACAGGTTTGTTGTGTGTCGGCCATTGAATTCGCACACCAAATCAAAACTATACAAAGATGAAATCCTTGTACCTACTCCTATCTAGTATGACCCAGTCTCATCTTCTCCATTCTATTCTCCGAATCTCTTGGATCCCTCTTTGGGTTGAAGCATGTTGCAGCCTGCGTGATCCAGAGATTCTGTAAGTCGATGGTCCCTATTGTTGAGAGTGCCCTGGCTTAACAATATGACAACTCTTTGCATATTCCACCCAGTCTTTACAAAATTAATCTAAGCTATGCTTTTGCTGTTTCCCCCTTTGCATCCATTACAAATTCTTGATGCCCAACGCATTCTAAAACCACTATGAAATCGTGGGGTCCATCGTGAATTTTTCATACAAGCTGATGTGATCTTAACCTTTTGGTTTGTATGAAATGCTGGGACTCATCGTCATTTCTTGGCTGGTAGGGCTCCAGCGTCTCCAGTACAAAATGCTTGGCTACATCCCCAGCATATTAGCTATATTTTCAACTTAAAATGTCCTCGAAACGCCAGATTCGTAGTATAAAAATCAAATTAGACATCTATTACGAATCAAGAGCCCATCAATCTATACAAAACCACTTTGTTTGCCCACCATTTTGTAAAGACCACCCTGTGTCCCGATGAATTGCGTCTACAAAAATGGGGCCACATCGTCACACATGAAATTTCAACCGGGATACTTTAATGTTGAATCTTCGATAGCGTAAACCGCCCCTGCCCAGTGCCAGTTAAACAGTTTTGCTGGTTCCAGCTTCTTGCAGTTACTTATCCCCGTGTGGACTGCAAGGGGTGGGCCCACACTGGAAAGTATTTCTGAGTGGGAATCTTTATCCAATGTTGTCCTTCCAAAAACATTGGGTTCTCCTCCTCCTTCTTTGCGACCTCGGTCTTGGCCTCTTCGTTCTTTGTCAAAGCCTTGCCGGCAGCGGCATCACCCTGATTCCCACCACCATCGGAACCAGCCACGGCCTGTCCCCGCTGAGAATCAAACTCCTTCAAGATGGATCTCCACTCAGGGCCGAAGACAGGGCAGCTGAGGAATGTCTGCCGGATGTCACGAGGAACAATCAACCGGCCTTCTGAAATCTGGCGCAATTTCAAAGTGGGGCGCTCAGGATTCACTGGCATCTCCTCTGGAGGAGGCTCACGACGATACCGCGGGGTAGCTTTCTCCATGGGAGCACGCCCAGCCTTCCAAGCCTGGAATTCTAAGAAGGCCCCCACACAACAAAAAAACACAAACAGTTAATTAAGAACCTGGAGACGCAGTGAGACAAACAACAAAACGACCAAACAACACAAGTCAGAATAGTCTGCCTGCATCAAGTGCGACTTCACAGTCTCCTTGGAGCAATTGAAGGGTGCAGGTTGGATTGATGTGCCGAGAACAGGCAAGCCCAGCTGCAAACATGCCAACTCAAGCGCACCATCGTAGGCGGTTGGGTGGACCACTGTAGCAATGTGATAGCCTTTGCGGTCCCCTGTTCAGGTGAAACGCTGGGAAACCTATTGAACAGATTGTGACTTGAGTGCACTTATATACATAAAACTAGAAGGTTTGAGTACAGATCAACACATGCAACAACATGGAAGAATAACCTGGCCTGTCAGAGCGGCGAGGATGCTCTTGGCCACTGGCACGCCGCCAAGCCACTGTGATGTTTCTTGCAGGTCCGTGAGGTTGCGGCGTGCGTCATTGCAAAGCCAAAGTTCGCCTGGAATGACAAAGTCTTTTT